AAAATCAACTTTGACAAATTAGCCCTCTTTTTAAGCAAAAATATATATAGGCATCAGAAAGAGAAAATCCAAAACATTTTTGGAATTCAAGCGATATCAAAACTTTAAAAGTACCTTAATCTACATACTATAGTGGGAAAAAGATGATTTAATGCATTCTAAAAGATAAAAGACAAAGTTAAAGGAAAAATAAAAGCTTGGGAAACATATGCTTACCGTATGGTGGAAAGGAAGTTTTCATAAAATCAATTTTCCAAGTAATCCCTCATATGCTATAAGTAGTTTTTCGATGCAAAGTTTTTTGTAAAAGGGTCAATAGCATAATTAGCAGCTACTGGTGAAAAATTGATGGAGAAACAAAAAGAACACACTAGCTAAAATAAAGATATTTATGTTGACTAAAGATAAAAGAAGAATGAGGTTTAACGAGATGAAAAACTTCAACAAAGTAATGTTGGGTAATTAAGGATGAAGACTCCAAACTTAGCTAGATAAACTTGTAACGTAGGTGCTGAAAGCATGGTATTTCCCAAACTATGCATACGTGGATGCAAGCCTTAAAAGCAAACCCTCCCTCACATGGAGAAGTTTATGGTTTGTGAAAGGCCTAGTTGGAAAATAACTTCATTGGTGAGTTGGCATTAGGATAAGTATTAGAGTCTAACAGGACAAATGGATACCAACTTTAAGCATTTTCATGCCATAAGAACTAAAGGGCAATGTTGATAAAGAATGTATGGTGGCAAAGCTTATAAACTCAACCACAAAGATTTGAAAACTTGATGTCATTCACAACATGTTTAACGAGAATGATGTAAGAGCCATTTATGCAATCCTTGTAAGCAATGTGGGGTGACTAGACATGCAAGTATGGCATTATGATAATAAAGGAATATATACTATATGAAACAAGTATAAGCTACTATGTACCGAGGAAGAGGAAAACAACCCTAATTGGAAACATGAGGAAGAGAACAGCCAAAGTTTATGGATAAGGATTTAGGCCACAAATGTGCTAAACAAGATAAAAGCCTTTGTCTAGTGTGACTACTATGGTATTCTACCCACAATGCAAAATCTTCATAAGAAAGAACTTGATGTTAATGTAATTTGTTCTAGGTGTAGAAAGGAAGAGGAGTTAGTTTTCCATACACTAAAAAAGTGTCCAAAGATAAATGATGTATAGAGGTTGTTATAGTTTGAATATGGGATGGAAAGTAATTTGACAAATATGAAGAAGTGGATCAAAAATATATGTAATATTGTCACATATGAACAACTGTAGGTTTTTATGACCATTGCGTGAAGTATATAGGTTGTGTGAAATAAAAATCTACATGGAGAGACCAAAAAAAGTATGCATGAGCTAGTGAGATTTATAACAAACTCTATTGTGGAATATAACTAACCTAATCACAGATACATAGGCTAGTACATTGGTGAAAGGATAGAGACCTCCAAATCCAAAAAAAGTGAAAGTCAACTTCGATGGTGCATACAACAACCAACAAAAAATAAGAGGGATAAAAGTCATTATTAGAGACAGAATGGAGGTTGTGTTGAGAACTACCACAAAAAGAATGATGTTTGCAATAGATGTTTTTCAACTAGAAGCAAGGATAATAGTAAAAGCTCTCACATTTGCATTGGAGTTAGGGTTTAGAAAAGCAATATTAGAGGGTGATAGTTTAACTATGGTGAAAAAGCTACAATCTAAGGAGACTAACCTTTCACCGATCGGCATTATGATAGAAGAAAAAAAATACAAGGCAGGCTAAATGCTCAATTTAAGATTAGAAGTTTAGGTGGATGCTCAATTTAGGATTAAACGTTTTAATTTACACAAACGGGGATTAAACGTTATCAATTTATAAAAATGTAAGATTTTTTTAAAACAAAAAAAAAAAAAACAGTGAAACACAAATGCCATTAAGTTAAAAAAAAATATTAATAGATAAAAATTACGTATATTATTCAATTTTTAAAAATTTTTTGCTTTTTGCTTATTTTTTACTAATATTCTCTCTTTTCAAACAAATCTCATTTTTTTTCAAGTTTTCTTAACCCTAAAATTTCATAAATTTCATAAATTTCTTAATCATAATATTCTTCATCAATTAAGTTAGCCAAAGGAATGTCCATTTTAAAGCTTCAAACACAGTTTAAAAATATAAAGCTATTAATAGATATTATCATTTGCACAACAAAAAAGAACAGGAGATAAACTAGAAAGGAACCAGACAAGCAAGACAGCAAGCAAAGAAGAGAGATCAATAACGGTGATAATGGAAAACTGAGAGAAAGATGAGGACAAATCCTAGTTGCAAATCTTTACATAATCTTTTTCTTTACTTTGATTTTATATTTTAAAAATTCATTCTTTCAAATTCATGTGAATAATGAAGTGGGTTTTTCAAATTTATGAAAGTTGCTAGAAACTCAAGTGAAAAGTTAGTTTTGTAAAAATCGGGTTGTTGTTCATCTGGGGGTAAAAGGAACAAATAGAGGGAAAACCAAGCAAGATTACCACCCATCAGTTAACTTTCTAGCAAATTCTTGTCACTAAGCCTCCACACCTATTACCAACTACCACCCCTATAGTCACTACCAAGAACTACCATACCCAACCCTTGCCACAAAAAAAAATCATCACCAACTCAACAGCCAAACTAACACGAATCAAGCTCTCCTAGATCATCGAATACATACCTACAAAGAAGAATAGATAGATACAACAACCAACACAACAATAATAACTTCAAAAAGGAAGAGAAAGCCTCATCCATCGAAGAAGAACAACATACCTTAAAACAGCGACCATCAGAGAGTCAGAAAAGAGAGAGAAAACTTTGATCTCGGATCCACAAAAATCTAGCAAGTCTTTGAGAAAACCAACTAGATCATGTTAAAAAGGAGACTGAGATAAACTTACTGGTGAAATTTGGAGGCCAATCGGTGTCGCAGGCCTGTGGCTGGTGGTGGCGTATGGTGACATGCGACAGTCGAAATCTAGGAAAGGTTAAAGAACCGACCAATGTTCATTTATCTGCAAAGAGAGTTCTTTAACTTAAAAGTTAATTAATTAAATTATAATTTTATTGTATTATCTTACACAAGTGGATAGCAATATTGCCGTATCAGCAAAAGATGATAGTATTCATTTGTCATGTCAACAAAAATATCATAAGTTGAATAATTTACTTGAGTCGACGGAACGTATAGTGCATACTCTTAAATTTGTCAAAAAAATCATATATTATTACAAACTAATAACATTTAATCATTATTCATACAAAATAAAATATTTAATTTTAAATTGAACAATCACTCATAATTACAAAATGCATGTTCCAAAACAAGGAAATTTGGTGGTCCATAGCCTAGCAAAACATGGACTCCAAAGCAAAGATAACCAGGTCTGGATGGAAGAGTACCTTAGTTTTCTTGTACCACTCTTACAATTGGATTCTGTCCTATTTTAATGAATGAAAGTAACCCTAGTTCTCACAAAGAAAAAAAAAAGCAGCTTCGCCTTTCAGGCTTTGCCTCTAAACAACAATAACTAATTATGACTTCATGTCGTAAAACATGCCGAAAAACATACAATGATCATGAGTTGTGAATATGTACGTGTAAGTAGAATTCTTTTCAGTTCATGAATTTTTAAGTTAAGAAAATTTAAATATAAACAAATCAAAATAATGAAAATCAAAATCGATATGTGGATAAAAGTAAATGAAGAAATCAACAATATGTAAAAATTAACGGATCAAAATGATATTTATAAACAAATTTTAGTTGATAGTTGATAAAGGGTCGAAAAATTATTAAAACTTGATTTAATCGTTAATTGGTAATTTTTGGGTTAGACCACCTTATGTAAATAAAAATTGAGAACTTGTTAGAGTTTTTCTTAATTTTATTTATATAAATGATGTGTTTAACGTGTTTTTATTGGTTTTTCAGCTGAATTTCAAGTCTTGCCCAACAGATATAACTACTCATTAATTTATGAACTGCTATGTCAATTATACGTAGATTACCTAATTGTGCTGCAGATATGAATTGCCCACTTTGCTGAAATTTTTAAACCAAATCCCTAGCCTTCATTAAAATTCAATCACAATTTTTCATTTTCTCTTTTCTTTCTACCGAATAGGGTGTTTAAACGCAAGAGCAAATCGACTAGTCTTTTATTTACTTTCTTTTGGTCAAACACGGTTCAACTTTGGTCTTTAAATTGATTTTCTCCTATAAATATTGATCATAGAATGGAAACGAGCAAAGGTTGATATGAGATGTTGGGTCAAAAAATCATAAAGAATCTAAATAACTTCAATTCGAAATGAAAATATCCAAAGCCAAAGATCCAAAATGACTGAGGAAATACCAAAAGGAAAATGTTATTATTGTTCCTCAATTAATTGTTGTTCCACTTTTGGCAGTCTCCATTTCAAACAACGAAATAGGAACTGTGTGGGCTTCTACTGAAGGTCATAAAACAGAAAGCCCAACCAAAGGCCCAAAACATACCAGGTTTCCGTATCAAGTATGAAATGATTCACAAATTAAAGCTTATTTTGCATGAGATATTAAAGATTTTTGTTTTTCTTTTTGAGGTAAAATGCATGAGATCTTGAGATTAAATTGCCTCTCTTCTACAAATTAAGCTATCTCCATAATGAATTCCAAAAGATTCGACAAATCATGTATCGCTAAACTTGATTTTTACGCGAAATGTCATAACAAATTAAGCTAATTAACAAAACGAGTAAATAAATTGCCAAATATTTTAAAAAGAAGAGATGGAAAAGCAAATGATTCTTCAGAAATCTACTCAATACAATAGCACTCATTTACGTACATGCAACAAATCACAAAGAGATGCATCGATTCCTCTATCTCATTTACAACACTAAGCATCCAATTTTTTTAAATCCCTTTCTACACTGCAATAATGGAGCGACTTACCATCCAAACAGACACTCAACAAACTTTTAACGAATTTTTTTAATAAAAAAAAAAAAACTCTGCAGACTTAACGAACTTTGACTCATTTGACTAAACACAGGCTAATAGTGAACCAAAGCCAGGAAACAGAAGGCATGGTGATTTTCAATTCAAAATCCTTCAAAGGCCATGGTGATCTTCAAAAAACGGCATATGAGGCTTGACCTGAGTTGTGGCGTGATTTACCTGGCTCAATCCATAAGACCATAACCACATTGCTCATCCAGAGTTTTGCAATCTATTCCCCCCACCGCCGACATCTGATGTCTACCACCTAAAAACGCTTTACTCACCGGGGCTGCCATAGGATGAACATGAGGAAATGGCAAGTAAATGCTATGCACTATAACTTTCAAGTTCCTTATCAAATCGGCAACCTTAATCATCACATAGTTGATCCTCATTTGATTCTTTAGAATCCCTCCTCCCGCTGTCGTCACCACCAAACTCTGACCTCTATCCAATGTCGTCAACGTGGTCCCCATTGGAAGTCCCTCCAGATCCGTAATAGTCAAAAACTGGTTCGGCACGATATGATACCTTACATTGTTGATGTAAGAATGCGAACCGGAGAAGATTGACACGTCATCAACAGCGAAGATCGTGACGTTGTTGAGAGGAACTAGTTCAGCGTACTTGATTTTCATAGCGAGTGAGAGAACGGAGAAGCCATTGTTTCTCAGCCGTACGATGGCGTCTCGAAGCATGATTCGCATCAGAACGGCATTTTGTTGCTGAGAAAGTTGGTTATTGTGGCTACGATCGTAGTGGAACGGGAAAGAGAGTGACGTCATCCGTTCAAGGTCACATGAGAAAGGCGAGAGAGGTGAGATGTAGCCTTGGAGGCCATGGATTATGATTAGGCCGTTGTTGAAGAGATCTGGATGAGTGATTTCAACTCCGCCAATGAAGACTTTGTGAATGGTGAAGTTTTCCTGGTTGTTGGCGGTGAAGGTTACGGTTATGCAACGACCAGGACTGAGAGTTTCGATTTTGGAACCAAAGTTGAGTTTTCGGAGGTAATCGGTGGTGAAGAGGCCGGGAACCATGTGTTCACGGAGGAGGGAAGGGATGGAGCAAGAAATGCATGTACGAACCGAGGAATCGGAGGGAGCAAAGATAGTGTAAGGACCGGACCATGCGGTGGAGATGGCTGAGTCACTGAAGAGAGAAGGAACGGCTGTGGCTAGGTCGTTGAAGCCGAGGTGAGAGAGGATTGGTGCAAGGAGTGAAGTATGGGAGAAGATCGCGTGGTCCGGAAGATCTTGAGATGGTTGTACCGTTTGTGAGATCGTGAAGAATGGTGGTGGTGGTAGTAGAGGGGTGGTAGCGGCGGTGGTGAAGGTGAGAGTTGGGTCGAGAGTAGAGTGGGAGAGGGAGAGGAAAGAGAGAGCGAGGAAGATCATGAGATTCAAAGAAATAAACGCCATTTCGGAGGAGTTATTTGGATTCTGGAAAAGGTTAAGAAATGAGAGAACGAGATAGACCGTGAAAGAGTAGAGGGGGTGGGTATTTACAGAGAACGGGCTGAGTGAAAGAAAGTGGTTAGGGAGGCGCGTGGTATCGGGAAACGAAGAGCCTAACGGTTTTGGGGTTGGTTGTTAGGAACGTTCTTGAATCTTGATTTCTGTTATTTTTGGCGGGAACGATGGAAGTAATGAGAAACGTTTTTAGGTGCGGCTGAAGAATAACGGCTTGTTATTTTGATGATACCGAGGATGCCTATGGATGGCTGGACGCTCGAAGAATATCATCAGACTCGTATCGAACGATTATTTTGAGTGCCAGCGCTTATAATTTCTTGTTCAATTGAATTCAACTCATCAGAAGATTGAAAATAATTTCGGTTCGGCGTTTGATGATACGGTAATGGAAGTTGAAATCCATCAGACGACTGTTATAAATGTCAGCATACTCCTCCAGATCCGATGTTTCTACTTCATCGTCACACAATACCAAAATTAACTTTTTTTTTTTTTTTGCTATCTCCTTTGCACATCCATACTTCCATATAAAAAGAACTAGTAAATTATTCCGCGCTAACATTATGTGAATGGAGAGAAAAGTAAATTTTTTGTTTTTTAAAATTAATATGATTTAATTATTAAATTATTTAAAATTATCTTTAAATTATATATCCACTTTGTTTTGATATCTGAGTTCAATTTTTATAATATAAATTAAATTGGTTTACAAAATATCTATATTCTCTCAAATTTTTTAATTATTTGAAATTTAAATATTTTTACTAAAATTTATTATTATATTTTGTAATTATTAAAAAGGTATTATATTATGAAAAATTATCAGTAAAATTTTTAAATTCCACAAATATGATTAAAAAGGTGACATGTACATTTTAAAATATATTTCACTTAAACTATATTATATTATATTATTTTTTATCAATGTTTCATTAATCTAAAAAACTAAAAATTTTCTTAATTTTGATAATAATAATAATAATGTATTATTATTTATTTTTATGATCATTTGAAATTAATTTTTTTATTGAAATAAATTGTAAGAACTTCCTTACATCTTAGTAAAGTTGACTATATGATTTATGTAAAATCATAAACTTTACATTTGGACATAAGAACAAGATAAATTACAAATATCCTGACATTGAATTTTTAAATTTCACAATAATGTTAAGAGAGTGACACTACACATATCTCTTAAGATATATTTAAAACATAAAAAATTAATTAAAAATAAAAATATAATATGTGTCAATCTCTTAACACCATTTGTGAAATTAAAAATTTACACTAATAGTGCATCAAATACTAACTCTAAGAATAAATAATATTTTTAAAAATTATATTATTAAATAATTGTAATTCATTCTATATGAAATAATTATATCAAAATTGTTGTCTCGTTATAGTCATAAGTCCTTTGCATATTTTTAACCAATTATAACTTTATTTTATTTTATTTATGCAATAATTTTTAATAAAACATAAAGTTTTATTTGTTAGTTCTTAATAGTTAATAATTATAATTGTTTAACAAAATTTATATGCACAAGGAAAAAGAATCATATTATTATATTTTGTGTTCTTAGAGTTTAGTTGATAGAGAATTATAAACTTTTTTATGCACACATAATGCTAGAATCATTTTATAAATACTATTATCTATGTGGTTAATGGTACGATTAGTTAGTAGAATGTTAAATTCTTAATTTCAATAATTAAAGTTTAAATCTTAATAATCTCAAACACTTATATATATATATATTCAAAAAAAAATTTCACCGCTTTGCATTTTTACACCATCATGTATAATTTATAGAGAAGATAAAGCTTAAAAAATTGGCTGCAGAATTCAGCTTGGGAGCGTGCTAGCTGGAAATTACTCTTTTAATTGCTGCTAGAAATGAATTTTTGCATTGCCACCAAATTAAAGCATACAGTTGAGTTGAAGAAGGAGATGTGCTTTTTCAAACTCTATATGTTGGAAGCTCTATTCACTAGAACCTCTCTACTTATAAGAGGAATCCATGCCTTTACGCTTCCTATGGATCCGAGAAAGGGTTGAGGAAAAGGAAAAAAAAAGTAAAGAAAGAAAAGGAAAAGAAACTTTGATTCTCTTCTCTATGTTTGCTTGTGTGGCAGAAAAGAAGGCACAAGCATGTGCTTTCCTGGGAATTTCTTTTCCTTATGTTTTTTCTAAGGTAGGAATTTCCTTTCTTTTCCCATTGCACGTCTGCAAGCCATTTTTACTTGAATGAGTTAAAACATTAGTATTGTTATATATTTGGATCATCCAATCTGGTTTTTTTTACCTTTCTTTTCTTCTTCTAGAGTCCTTATAATGAATCTTTGTCATGCTGCATTGAACATTTAATTTATGTTTCACAGTCCCATGAAAGGTTTCCTAAACGGAAGTTAGCCATTGAAAATGTCTGAAATGCAAGTTAGGTCCACTTGTCACGTTTCTTCTGCTTACGAAACTAAACCTATAAAAAGAGAAAAAAAAAATGACGCAGCCAGGTTGCACCCAATTACAATGGTGATAACTTATAGAGTTGTGGGCATAAAATTCATAATCTACCCATATATCTACCAGAAACCCAACATGAAAAACAAAAATAAAAAAAAAATACTACGACTACTACTACTACTACTACTACTACTACTACTACTACTCATTATTTAGGAATTTTTTTATACTGGGCTTAATGATTTCTGACTAGATGTTAGGGAAAGCTTGATTTTGAGTTTCCAATCAAGACATCAATTACAACAGCCTACATGACAGAACATGCATTTGGGTTTTCATCACTGAACAAAGAGATGTAAGGATCTTCATATGTGGTGACAGCGGCAGTGATAACATTGTTCTCTACATTCCTGACGTAACCAGGAGGTGCCCTCTTGTCATAAGCAGGAGCAGCATATGGCTGGGCCACCAGATTGTAAGGAACATAAGGCCAAATCTCAGCCCTTTTCCCTGTTGACTTGGCTTTCTTCAACACTTTGTTTGCCTCAACATATCCCGTTACAGTCACCTTCTGCTGTTTCCTGTTTATATTCACGGATTTCGCTCCTGCAGTCACATGCATTTCACCCCATAATAATTTGTCAGCTTCCTTCAAAAGGAGAAAAAAAAAAAGCAAAGGAAGAAACATTTACCACTCAATGAAGAAAGGGCTTTCTTGACCCTGAGTTCACAGCCATCACAGTCCATCCTGACCTTGAGCTCCACAGTCTGAAACTGCTTTTTCTTCTTGTACTTATAGCTGCAGCTACTGCTCATTAAATCAGACAAATACTCCAAAGTGCCTGCAAATCCCATGTTTTTGCTTCTCTTCAAAAGCTACGGTTCAAAGAAAACTCTCAATGAAGGATGTAACTAAAAGTTTCAACGCAGGGTCTTAGATGATCAGAAATGAGAGGAAACCAGGAAATGTGAAAAAGGGGTTTATGGGAATTAATGTGAATTTATCCTATGAGATCATTCTTTTATACAGCTCCACTTCTCAAATGGGCTTTTCATTCATCAAATTCAAACAGATTAAAAAAGCTGTGGGCCCTTACTAAAGGTCAACAAACGGAAGCTAAGGCTCTTGGTGACATGATTTTTGCAATTAAGTACAATAATTTAATAAATTTATATAAAGTCATAATTTGATATATTGTAATATTTTAATTTTTATAAACGGATTAAATAAATGATTGATTTATATTTATTTTTAAATAAATTTTAAAAATATATATCAATCTTATTAATTTTATTTGTGGAGAGTAAAAATTTTAGGGGATGAAATAAAAATCAAATAATATAAATTCAAAACGAGGAAGTGAAAGCAGCTGGACTGGTTCCAATTTTGAACAGCACCACACATTTGAGACGAAGATCATATGGCATTGGTTGACACGTGGAATAAATCTAACGATGGAACGATAAAAGGACAAGCCCGCTCCCCCTAAAATGTGGGGCCACCTTCTAATTTTGGGGTTTGTGTTGGTTGGCGGAATGGATGTGTATTGGTCAGCAGGCGCGTCGACAGAGCGGGGATTGGGATGCTGCACCCACAAGCTAACGGAGCTCGTGGAACAGTTTAATTTTCTTTTCTTTCTCGACGGATTTTTAATGAACTTTTCAGATTGGAGCAAGTATGATTTCTTAAGAAGTTTAACAAATATAGTATATATATTATATATTTTTTGGTTAAAATAATAAAAAATATTAAATTTTATAATTTTATTTAAATAAATTTTTATAATTTTGTTACATTAAAAAAATTTTAATTTTTAATTTACATTTAAATAAATTCATAACTCTTAATTTGTATCTAAATAATTTTTTAATTTTTTAATTTATATTTAAATAAACTCTAATATAAATCATATTTTCATTTGAAATAAAAACTTATTTTAATATAAATTAAAATGTAAAAATTTATTTAAATAAAATAAAAAAATAAAATTTATTTTTAAAAAATAGAATAATTCAGAATTTTTTTAATATTTTAAACATATATATATATATATTCAACAAAGATTAAGTTAGTAAAAGTTAAATATTTATAATTAAGATTTAAATTTTGATTCTTAGTCCAACAAATTCTTTTGGTAGATGCTTTATGAATTTAATATAAATTTTTATTGAAACTTATTTTATGCTTTTATCTTAAAATGAGATCATTTTCTTCCACTTACATTTTTTGTAAATTAAAAATTATTTTCTTTTTTTTAAATTAAAACCCAATTCTATCAATGAATGATGAGGTTAGAAGAATATGGAGGCTTAGGTTTTTTTTAACTTGATTATTAGATAATTTTTATCTAAATTAATTAAGAATCCTTAATTTTGATTAAATTTATTTCTATAACTTCTAAAACAAAATTCATTATTTGGCAAATATCCTTGACTTGTGATAAGCAAAGTTAACTAAAATTTTAAAGTAGTCATTGATATTATTTTCATAATTATCATAATAATATAATCATCAAAATAATTTTATTATTAAAGTGATGTTATCACTCATGATTTGAAATTATTTTGTTTAATTAACAGTCATTAATTATAAAAATTAAAGATCATTGCATTTAGTATTAATAAAAATTAAATATTATTTATTTAAAAAATAAAAATAACTATGCATATCATATAGTTATACTATACATATTAATGATTTTAATGTTATTTAAAGATAATAATTTATAAAATATAGTACTATTTTATTTATTTTATAATAAAATATAATTAAATTATTAAATTAATAAACATATTTATTATTAGGAAAATTAATTTTTGTAATATAAATTATGTAAAAAAATATTTGAATTAGAAAATAAAACTAAGATATTAAAATCATAATAAAAACAAAATATTATATTATATAAAATATTTAAAAAATAAATAATATATATATATACAAATTATTTTTAAACATGTTATAATTAATATTAATTTGAAAAAATAAAATTTGTAATATAAAATAAAGTAAATAGTATTATGGTTCTTAAACTTTGGGTTAAATTCTATATTGATTTCTAAACTTTAAAAAGTTTTAATTGAGTCATTAATTGTCCAAATGTATATCAATGTAGTCCCTTCATATGCTAAACCGTATAAATTGATAAAAAAATCTAGCGTAACATATGACACAGACCCTTAGAAAATTGTATTACGTGTAAGGTTAATATTCTATCCTTGATTTTAAGCAAAAAAGTTTTCGACCAAAAGAGGAATCAAATAATTGGAAAGATAAACAACAAGCAATCAAAGATAAAAACAACCAAGCACACATCAAGCAATACACATGGGAAGCAATTTGGTAACAAACATTCAAGCAATTTAGCAATAAATTCAATTAACCTCTAAGTAGAAAATCCATCAAACCCGTACCCAGAAACCTACCAGAAATCACCAATCAAAAAACCGTCACTTAATCAATCCACAATCTCCAATTTAGCAGAAATACACAACACTAGCAAGCAAATCCAAAATCATCTATACTAACAATCAATTTGTGGAAAATCAAGAGTTTCAACTCAGAAAATAGAACCCATTAAGACTAAACAAAAGTCGAAAGTAAAAAGAGAGGCATTGTAAAAGAATGGTTTGGCAGCAAAATTTTTCAGAGTTTGGTGATTTTGTTTGGGTCTTCCAAACAAAAAAAGAAAGGCCAAATTCACTGAGATTTGGGTTGTAGCTAGGTTTCAGTCGATAAAGAGAAGAGGGCATTTGAAAGAAGTTTTTAGCATAAGCACAAAGACTAATGGTGGTCACTAGTGAGATCGACAATTGACAACAAAAATGATTAACAACTTCGTAGTGATAAGTGCTGGCTTTTAGATTAATATTATTGACATTGATTGGGTTTGAAGAAAAGGGAATTTAAAGAGAGATTGGATAGGAAAGGGAAGCTTAGAATGGAAATCAAAATTGGTTTACTTTGAAGTTTTTTACTCCTTACAAACAATGTCATTTGGGTCTAAAAGGAAAGAGCCACACCCATTCAACCCATGTCGAAAGCCTACAATACATTTATCCATGATTGTAAGGTTACATGTCATGTCATACTGGATTTTTCATTAATTTTAAATAATACAGCAGATGGAGAGACTACATTAATATACATTTGGACAATTGAGGACTTAAGTAAAACTTTTTAAAATTTAGGGATCAATATAGAATTTGACTCAAATTTTAGAGATCACACATGCTATTTACTCTATAAAATAATTACAATTTTAAGAAGAAATTACAGTTTTTAATTTACATATTAAAAAGATAATATTTACTATTATTAATTTTATACGTCACCTCACATCAATGATAAAAGTTTCCCACTCTTTTAAATGTTACTATATAAATCATTCTTCAAAATAGTGATCTAAAATTATTGTTACGTAAGATCACAAAATGTTTACCAAATACAATGATCTAATCACTGTATGTAGATTATTAAAGTTTTTGAAGTGATTACCTCATACCAAGATTACCTTAATTTTTTTTAGTAGTAAAGAAAAAGCTCTACAATCCTTAAGTTTTACGTTCAAGTCTCAATATGTATAGGTTTGATTCAATTTTATATTGAATTTATTTATTTATATTTTAATTTATTAGTTTGTTTATATGATTTTTCAGTTATATTATATATGTACATAATAATTGATTATGATTATAATTTATATTTATAATTTCAAAAAAAATCTTTTAATTTTTTCAATTTCTATTAAGTTACATAGATATCACGCATGCATGATGTACATGTACGAAAATCATTCCGATGCTTCTTTTGTATCACTCTCTTCTTTCTATTAGAATTTGAAAAACCTTAAATTTTTTTGCATCTTTTCTTTAAAAAAAAAAAAACTAAAGAAGAATAAGAAACTAAAGGACAAAATGCTTAGTGAGGAGTAACACTATAAAACCTGCAGATAATCCAATCTTCACTAACTAGGGAAAAGATGCATGCATTAGCCTTTGAGCACGCGAGCCTTTTGTTTTTTTATTGGAAAAAAGTTTAACAGAGGAGGTTTGATTAGGGCCAAGACAGATTTCAAGTCTCAGAAAGACTCAAATTGAATTTAATTTATAAATCGTACATAAAAAAATTGTTAACAATGAAATTTGAATTTAAATGTTACATATGAAATATTCAAATCTTATAAATTCAACCAGCTTCATTAGTATGCTAACTTTTTGTTTGAATGTATAACCTTACGCACAAAAGCTGTGCAAAAGATTGAAGCTTCATAAAATTTAAAAATTCAATAAATTTAATTAAAAGTATATTTATCACTTTCAAATAAAATTAAAAAAAATATTAATTTTTAAGTAGCAGAAAATATCTTTTTTTCATATCTTTATGCTTTTTTCTTTTGGCCTGCCTAGGTTAGATTTTTTTTGTTTATTTAAAGAAAACAAAAACTTTTGGAACTTGGAAAGAAATAAGGTGGAAACAAGAGGCAAATATAAGCCAATCACACTCATTCCCATTTAAACCTTCCCCTTGTTCATTGTCCTTCTATGAATTAACTATTATAAAAAATTCCAAAGTCTTCCTAATTCCCAGTTCAAAAGAATTAAAAGACAATAAAACAAATAAAGAAAAAAAATACTGTAAAACAAAAACTTCTCAGAGATTTGGCTGTGAAAGGGAAGTTTACGACAAAAAAACAGCACCCAAATCATAGAACTTTCTTTTTAATTTTTTCGTTAGTGATGAAATATATGATCGGAAGATGGGCTTACATGCTTTAAAAATTTGTACATATTTGTCTTTGTTCATATGATTAGATTGTGATTAGCTCAGCTTAAAGGCAACTGGATTAAGTTTTTTCTAATTGGGAAGTAAATATAATGTATAATACTACTACATGCCCCTCTGTTCAATCCAATGGCCATAGGGAAAAAAAAAATTGATGGCATCACACCACGAGATTGCTCCAAATAT